TCAATAATTAAATTGTACAATGCTTGACAGAGCACCAGGCGACTGACACAAAATACAACGATTTACATTATATATTATAGTAGTAGGCACTAAACATGTATTATTTTGTATGTTTGGACTTGGTATGAATTTTAAATATGAAAATGAATATAACGCAAAAAAAAAAGAACTCAATTATTGGCACCCGACTCGTATTATTTTTGTTAAGTCAAACGTTCTTAGTCATATGACTAGTTAATTTTTTTTTCTTACTTAAGTTCAAACAATGTTATATAGAGGAGAAGTTTATTATAATGCGTGGGTGCGCGTGAAAAAGGGGTTAAGTCAACCACTATGAACTTTTCAGGATATGGAAAATAAGGCTTAGAAGAATATGTAAGATCAGGTATTAGAATAAAATAAATATTTTTTGAATAGGATAATAAAACAACTTGTTTTGTACTTTCCTGTATAAATTAGAATTTATAAAAATGTATAACAAAAAATCTGTTATAAGTTTAAAAAAAAAATTGATTTAAATCTTATCGAGTTGAATTCATTCATTTTTTTTTTTTTAATAAAAGGGTTAAGTAATTTTAATAATAATAATATTATTTCGACATCATCTTCAACCGTAACTGGATACGTATTTTAATGATATTGATTAATGTGTTGTGATTACAACACTCTTGATATCATAATTTAATATGGAGGGAAAACAGACATAACCCTTTTATCACTAAACTAGTGGTTCAAAAAGATTTAAGTCAGTATAACAAAGTCTGTATAACTCTTGTTACACTATTAAATTGTAAATACAAAAAGATTTAAGGCGACTTATCACAAAATACACTAAAATGAGAAAAATAGTGACTTAACTCAACAAACACTTATTCTAATAAATTCATTGAATACTACACTTAGACTTAAACTATAAAGCACAAATCATAGAGTTTTTTTTTCTGAATTTTTCGGTGTATATAACTCATTCCGCGCAAAATATTGACTTAACCCCTTTTTCACGCGCACCCACGATTATGATTGAAACAAAGAACCCCAAGTTTCCAGGTATTATACTTGCATGTTTACAATCGTGTCATGTTTCAAGACTTCACACGAGGTACTTAAAATAAGGGATGAAAAGTAAACTTTGCGGTATATCATATTATGTTGTTTACAAGTCGGACGGTAAAATTCCGTGAAAACCACATTTTTAATCTTGTAAACCTTGAAAGATTTTTTACTAAATAGTTATAACAACACTACAACAAGGATACAAACGTTTTACCGCGTTATTCGAATCCGTACAAGATGATAGTTTAGCGTTTATTTTTATTTGACTACACTTATTGCATGGTTTTTATACATTACATAATATTTTCTCATCGCAACTTTTCGACTAAATATCAACAAACATTTTTTTGCATAATGAACGGAAATAAAAAGTTATTGGTTAAAAGTTTTTTTTTTTTTTACCATCGATCATTTCATTTACCAGCATCGGAGTAGTTTGTCATTTTTGACGTATGACCACGAACAACATTAAGATGAAGACGCTTGTTTATCATGCCTGTCGTCCGACCATGATAATCCTTATAGTTTAAAATACACAAAATTCTCATCCAAAAACAAATCGTTTGCCGTCCGATTAAACGTCTTTGACTATTGAAAATCGACTACCAACTTTGAAAAACCTCAATTGTCGTTTGAACGTTGTTCAAATGCAAAGCTAAAGTTTCTTTGTCAGCTGTGACCAATCTTTTGTTGACGTTTTAAGTGTTCGACACAACAATTATTACTTTACAAGAAAAAACAACATTTCTGAATAGCTTGTAATAATAAAACGATTGCATACCAGTGATTCAAACGATGACGTGAGGACAATCACAAAAAAAAAATAAAAATATACATGCTATTGTAAAACCATAATGACTTGCCAACTTCGAATAGAAGGCTAAACCAACATAATCAACAACATACAGTTGTACTAAAGTCCTGTAAACTTTTCAAAAGCAGTTTTAAAACTTTGTGATAACTTATTCACGAATTAAAATCATTAAGTAATTTATTAAATATTTAATGTTTTCATCCTTTGGACACACCAAGGTGTGTATTTTATTTTTTTTTTCTCAGAGAGGCACAACAGTATGAGCAATATTAACGGATTACAATGCAATTCTGCATAACATATTACCAACATCTTAAGCATCAGCAAAGTGCCAAACCTTTATGGAGTCTTGTATTATGTAATAATAATTACTTTTTTATCAATATTGAAGTGGTCAATTTGTATTCTAAAAGTACCAAGGAAATCACATCAACGAATACAAATTTTCCAAGTTATTGAACCGATATTAGACATTAGAGATAATATAATGTCAAATTGAATCTTAAGAGAAAATTTTTAATCGCCATTGTTTATCGAAGTGAAAATATTTTGTTGACCGTCGACTGACATTTTAAGCGTGACTGTGATTTTTATTTCAATGGTACTCACGTACTTCTATAATGAGTTAAAGCTATATTTTTTATTGTTTCCGACCACAGTGTTAGTTCATCCGTGTCTGTTCACTATTGTCCAAAACAGAGCTAAAATGTATTGGCTCACAGATTACAGTATAATATAATATGATATTACATTTATTTTGGTTTTAACCGGTTATTTTGGTAAAGTGAAAATAACTATATACAAAACTTACTATGAATTAAAAGCGTAAAACAATGTTTTCAATATTAGTACTCTCTTTCAAAAAATTGGTGAAATTATTTTATACAACAATAGAATAGCGTTGCTCCAACTCTACAGTCAGAAAAGCATATTTTTCCTGAATTTAAATACCTTATATATTAGATATATTAGGTATGTTTTTCACGTTTTTTTTTTTGGAAAATCTAACAGGCCTAAAAGGCGCTGATTTTTTGGTTATACTTTTTTTTTTAAGTATTTTTATAAATAAATTTAACCAATTTGAGATCAAAGCTATTTAAGCTAGTGCTTAAAAATTGTACTGTGTTAGGATACTCTTAGTACTTCTCTAATGTCGAAATTAATTATAAAAGATTTACTAGGTAAACTTTACAAAATATTTTTTAATTAATGATATTTTTGGAAAAAGTATTTTAAAGACATTATACACAATATAAAGAAAATATTTTAGCATAACAGCTTTAGCTACAAATGCTTTAATGAATAAGATGATGAGACCCTAAAGACATTAATTTTGTGCTTTTAATGCTAAACAATAATGAAATAGGAACCTAATTTTATTGTACTGATTTCTAAGAATTAATGCGATCCTACTTATAGTACTTACTGTAATCAGTCCCTTATATTTATAAATCTGTTCATATTTTTCAATCAGACAGACTTTTTTTTTACCACGATAAATAAATTGAATTAACTGATTTTAAGTAATGACTTGAAGTATTTTTTATCAATACTTGTATTTAAAACCAAATATTTGCCATACAAAAGTCGTATAACATACTATTACGTTCTATATTATATTATATAATGTAAAAACTTAACGTTAATTTTATTTTAAAACTAAAGGGAAAGATTAATTATCGCATTCAAATAAACCAACGATTTTATGTGAAATCTCTTCTTTTGTACTTAGACATTCTCTAATTATTATTTACAATTTCACAAATATCAATTAACAAACTTAAAAGGATCAGTAAACTTAAGAGCACCATAAAGCGAATATGTGGGATAAACTTAACCCTAAAACATACATTAACACACACGAGCTGAACAATTATTAATCACGTGTATACATTTCAACTACCATAGACAAATAACCATCGAATTGTAAATATAATAAAAGCATCTTCCACGAATTAATATAAGACATCTAATCGATTTTATATTCATCATTTCATTTTATACAGTCCGGGACCAAACCTACTGTTTCGTTATGTTTAGTAATGCTCTCAGTTGGACAAGTCGTCAGTTAAATTAATTACATGAGCTTAAATCTGTAATCCATAAATTGAAACTAAATCCATTAAATATAATTAAAAAGACAAAATCGATATGGTGAATTTTTAAATGGTCTAAGTACACTTAGGAAATGTATGTGTACTCCATAATAATAATTAAGTGTTGATAACTAAAATAGAATCTAGATATAAATTTAAAAAAAAAAACAATACGTTATTAGGATTATTAAGAAATCTTAAAGTGCTAAAACCGTTGTACAGAAGTGTTTTTAACTGTTCTTCCTAGATGTTTTTAAATCATCCGCATTTATCTTATACTATAAACTATCTATTCTCTCTGTAACATAATGCACGGCTACATTGGTACTGTAGCTTTACAGTATTATTAAAATCTCATAAAATTATTAATATATTGTAAAAATTTTAATAATATAATATCGCCATCACCAAACTTCTCAGCATTTAATGTGTATTTACATTTAACGTAATGCACACTTCAGTTTTACGATGAACATAATACAATATTATATTTTAAGTATAGGATGAGTGTCTGAGACCGTACTGTGTAGGCATACCACTCGCTGTCATCGATTCGACTTTCGGCTAGAGAAAAAAAACTACCATTCTTCTACCAAGTAGAGCAAAAGCTACACGAAAACAAACAAATTATCAAGTGTGCCGTAATCTTGCGAAACAGTTATATTATAACTTTTACCATAGATTTTCTGATAGTGGGCGTAAAATTTTAGTTTTAGTTTATAGTCATAGCACAATGTGTCCCAGAACTCTGTAGCATGTCAAATAATAAAATTTCTCTGATCATCCTAAATCAAGAATCGAACAGGATACAAATAACAACTCGTATAACTTGAATGTTACATTTATCTTTAACATATTCTTATAGCAAAACAACATAGTACTATTATTTACATACGATTTATATAGTAAGTCAAGTAGAACTGTTCGAGTTTTAATTTTATAATATTAACATATTATTTTTATAAATCGGCATAATATTCTCATATTATATCTGACAATATTTATAAACAGTAATATTTAACCTACCACTTAAATTATTAAATAAACATAAGTAGATTTTTAGTTTATAACTACATTATATTCTAAAACAAAATTCACATTGAAATATATGATACAATAGTTTTTAAGAACACGTCTTTTTTTTTTATTATCAAACTTGGCAGACGCAATGTTTGAATTGATTTACTTGTTCAGATAATGCCATCATATCACTACCAAATAGTCCCCTGCTTGACCGTGTTTTTACCTTAACATATTTGTATTGTAACAACGTTATATTATTATAATTTTTTTTTTTATGTAATTGAATATTTCAATAATCCACATTTGATAATACTTGATGGTATGACTGGTAACATAGCTCTAAACAGATTAGTAAAAAAAAAAAATTCTTACATTCGCCTGATTAACAATCAAATATCTTTAAATCTACACAATATTATTGATATAGAAAATATATTTTTAAACATTAAACAAAACTGAATCTATTCTATTATGGAAATTTATATTTGCTTTTATAAATGCATATATTTTTGAATTATTAAAAAAAACAGTAAAATATAGTAATTGATTCTGATAAGCAATGTAATCAATGATTTTGGGTTTATTAAAACAATATTTTACAAACATTGTGTTGTTTTCTTTGAAAATCTTATTTAATATGTACATTATTCCCCTGTATAACATATTTTTATTAAAATCTGTATAAATGTGATAACTGTCATAAATTATAAGAACAATTTACGAATCATTTAGTATAATATATCTGCCTAAGTTTGTTAATAACCATCAAACAATATAGCGCCGTGTTTAAATTAATTCAAAATCCAAAAAACACCGTCCTCATAAATTCTCATCTTCAGAATTCCTGAAACAGAACAACAATGCAAGTTTAATAAATCACTCAAGATAGATACAATTTTATTTTATTTTAATTAAAATATTATAGAACATTTTAATATCATACAACTGCTACTATTTAGTAATTTTATTTATTCATAAAATATTATTTTGGATAATAAGACAGAACACGATATAAAATATAACTAAGATATAAGAAAGGAAAATTTCTATGCTAGACTAAAAAAAAAATGGGGAAATAAATCTCTGCACAAAACTATTGTTTGACCTAAAATTGAATTATTTGGGCATATTCAAGATGTTGAACAACTAACGAGATAGTGGGAAAGAGGACAATGACCTTTTAAACTAATAACATTTTTATCTTATATTTTCTATTTTATAATCCAACTTAATTTCATATGAACTTCTACACTGTTCTGAGACAACTCTAGTAAAATAAATTGACTGTTAGTAGCTTAATTTGAAGTAAAGAAAGATAAGCGAACAATGTATAGGTTAAATATTATTATAGTGAGTGTAAATGACTAAATCAATTTTAAAAAGTGATTGTCTTTATTCAAATCTGTATCATTTTGGAATACTCCAGACTGAACAATTAAGTAAATAATAAATAAAATAATATAGTGCATAGAGTTTTACTGTATCGATCAAACGAAAAACAATACCTTTGGATATTTATTTTTCAACTGTTTGTTGAACAATCTTCAGCTAAGTACTTATGAAACTTTAGGAATTCGGTCAATAGCAAAAAGTAAAGTCTGAAACTGACTTAACCGAATTAAACAATTATTTCCAGAGCAAACGATTTAGTAGTTAAGTAATGAACAGTTCATTACGGTTGTATTGTGGTTTGTTCTGTGCCGTCCGATCCACCGGAAAACTGCGATTAACGCACCACTTGATAACTTAATATCTCAATAATTCAGAAAAATAAGATTGGGGACATTAGGAAAACAAGACAAACGATAGAATTAAAAAAAATAACTTTTTTATTATTGGAATGAGTTTAAAATATAAACAAGACGTAATTAAAAATCCGTAACTGCTTTGTCACAATAAATATGTTAATATAGCATTTCTAATGTACTTTTACACAATTCTTAAGAAAATATACTCAAAGTTGATGGAACTGTCATTGTTATAATGATTTAACGAACATTAACATTGTAATAAACAATACCGCATTTAACAGATTCTTGCAGTACTGTACCTATTACTCATCATAAATGTATGCTATTGTGTGTAAACATAACGTTAAGGGTTCGGACACTTTTTCTATGGATGATGAAAAAGAGACGGTTTGATTAAAATGTTAAAAACTATTCGATATTCATTCAAACTTTTAGCTCGTACAAAATATAGACCAACAGCTATACACCAGCAAATTGTAGGTAAAACCACAAGCTGTATACATGTTACTGCCGGCAGCCGGCTTACACATAAATCAAAAGCATTAACAATCAACGTATAGCGTGGCCATTGTTACATATTTTGTTTTACAATACATCATGACATGAATACAAATTTTCCAACAAAGTTTTTTGGGTTGGCTATTCCGAGAAAACTCGTTTTCGATTTGCTTCGACGACCTGTAAAGACTCTGGAGAGAAAGAACTATAGAAAACACATTTTTATTGAAAATCAAATCAATATATTATAAAAGACAATAAAAAAAAGAATTTACTAAGACATAATTTATTTTTATTGTCGATCGAGATCTGTGTAAAAATATTTTCTATCTTATGTGCAAACGAATATTGTAATATTTTTTGTAAGCGCAATGCTCACTTTTTGGTATTATTTTTAAAATCGGATTCCAATCAAATAACATTGGTCTCTTCGTCATTTAAAGATGTAGATGGCTTTTTGTTAACTCATAATTTTACAATACTTGAAACAACGAAAAATAGTTAAATGTAAAAAATTTTATATTTTGCTATAGATTTTTAATTTATCATTACTTTTTAAGTAATAGTAAAATAATAATGATGGACAAAATATGTGAACAGTATTATTCATTTATTACTGTATATTGTATTTTTTATAAGGACAGCCATAATTTGTTTTTTAAGTAACGTAAGAGTAATACCCAAAGGTACTACATTTTTACTATAGTTTATCTTTTCATATAAGTATAATAGATGCTTACGTTGGTGAACGACCTTTCCTTTTTTTCTATTTCAGTTTATAAAATATTTAATAAATGTGTACAGGACTTAAAAACGTTGTAAAATTACGGAATCCACCCTAAATTGCAAACACTAATAAACTATTTAAAATATTAGCTTTCATTGAGTTTTAATGCAGCTAAATGATGACCATCTTTATTACTACTATTATTATCGTATGATATAAAATACATTTGCAAGTAAATAATTGAACATAAATTAATTACTAGATTACACAAAAAGAAAACAAATTAAAAATTAAAAATACAACGATAATAATTTTGTTGGTAAATGCAATTGATTAGCAAAAAAATATCGAGTTCTGCCTTCTTAATAATTGAATAGTCAAGTTCTTTTGTCGAAATATATTATGTTGCATTGGTAACGTCATGTAGGTCCCGTTTTTTTTTTTTTTTTTTATATGGGGATGTGACAAGGTGAGAAGGTTGACCGTAGTCACAGATTGTACTGTCATCATTTAATATTTGTGGAGCGACCAGAGCTTATTCGATTTCGCAAAACACATTCTAGGCGCTGTAGATGATAGATGTTATGATTCTCATATAACGGTTCTCGATAAGTTCAACATATATATATGAGCTCGATTTCTCGATTTAAGTCTTAGACCACCACTGTAATTTATGTCTTGGTGAATTTGGAGAAATTTATTTTCGATGATTTTTTACCAATCTCTACAACCGGCTGTCTCTTGTGCTAGTCACTGTGTCAATTGTATTGTGCCCAATATAATCCTCATGAATTGGTTCTGTTGGAATTGGTACACCCCAGGTTGAGGTGGTCAGTTTTTGTATCATATTGTTTATGGCTTTGATATTAGATATTGTATTTTCTTGAAGCTCATCGTGTGTGTAAGCCGCCTGGTAGCGTCACTTTAAATAATTAGAAGTTGGGTCATAATTATTAAGAATACTATCACGTATCACGATCTTAGGTTGATATTTGGCTAGACAATTGTTTAGAGGAAAATGTATGACCTCTTTGTTAATTAATTACAAACAAAATCTATAGTAGCAAACCTTTTTCCGTAGGTCAAAAACCTCGTCCTATTTGTTGTGCTAGGCCAAAAGGTTAAAACACCCATTCATATTTTTAAACATATATACATTTACGTTAATCTTTTGATATTTACATACATTTTGTTTCTCATTTTTGCTTGTTGAGTTGACACTTTTACGTGCTCAAATCAAATTTATTTGAATTATTCAAAGTTACCCTTTATCGATTTTTTATTATTCCGAAAACTTGTTCTATTCGTTGACACACGAGCTGTGCATAACAAGCATTTAAAGTGCAAAATGTATTTTTTATCAAAACATGGCATGTCCAATATGCTGATTTTTTTTTATAAATTGCTTAATTAAAATTTTAATATTATGAAATTTCGCAAAAATTACTGAACAAATTCAGTATAGTCATAAGTAAGTGTATGTCTTAACTATCTACTTTCGTCGTTATAATTTCCAGCAGTCAACAACGTACAATATAGTTCAAAAGAAAAAAATCTTAATTGTTTAAATGTTAATATATATATATATATATTATTATTATTATTATTATTAACGGGTATATTTTATTTTAATTATGTGAAGGAATGAGTTTGAAAAATTATATTAATGGTTATGTATTTATAGTTAAATAAAATTATTGCTTTTGTCCTAGCTATCTACAAACTATTGGATATTTGTAGTATGGTGAAGAATTCTAAAAAAACAAAATGTTGTTGAAATAATTGTTTTGCAACTAAAGTATTTGCTTGCTAACATAATTAACATGTATTCAACAAAATTTTGATTTTTAATTGGTAAAATTATTTCACAAAAATTTAATCCTATTATTAACCCAGTAACGAAAGTAGAACATAAATTAAACAGATTTTACTGCAGTATCATAGAACTGCGTTATACTACCTATATAAATACATAATATATTTGGCACGGTTCGGATTTTTATAAACTTATTCGGGTTCAAATATTAGCAAACCAAGTAGAATGCGTTTAACTCTTTATCAAGATGGCCCTACTCGTTTAACTGGAAATATTAAATATATATATATAGTTTTTTTTTCATATTTGACTATCTAAAAATAACATTCTTTTCAAAAAAGTAATGTTAGTTTATATACCGAAAAATTCAATTTCTGTCAATGTACATTATGGTAATTATTATAAATTTATTAGTTTTTTTGATATTAGACATTTAATAAAAACTCATTTTGGCTTGTGAAAAACGATTTCGATTACAACAATATTCTTTTACGACCGTCGAATAAAAATATTAGTATAAATCATTTTAACGATCGTAAAATCATGCGGTACTTTTATAATAAAATTGCAGTTTTTTTTTAAGTAGATCCACACTGATATTATATCATTTGAGACTATGTATTGACGGTTTTATCGCTTTAATATATCGTAAATCATCATTATTGTTTATAAAAGAAACTACATACATAATATTTAAGTTTGAAACGTCGTAAAATAAGATGATTATTAACTTTTTGTAAAGGTACACGTATTAATAAATAAACTCGCTTTTATATATTGTATCAATTTTCATTCAAAAAGTAATTAATATTATCAATCATGATTGAGAGTAGCGGTTGCCAATATGTTAGTAAACACAATTCTTCATATAGAGAAGAGCAAAAGTGGCGATGACCATTTACAACCATTATGTATACAAATAAAATATGAATTCACGCTTTGGATGTATTCGAGTGGTTATGAAAAACATTTATAAACAATTTCCAGTTTTCCAAGTAGAAGAATGAGATTCCAATCTAAATAAATACCTGGCGTTTATATAAAAAAAGCGTGGAAAGATGTAATAAATATATCATATAATTTTCCGTAATAATAAGCATGCGAGAGTAATATATAACTAAGAAAACCAAAGTATTATTTCGATATGACAATTATTAGGTAAATGTCAAGTAATATAATATAGTTATGATATATGGTAACCTTTCAGTGGACGTTTTTTGGGTCTGTATTATATTTATCACTTAAAAGTTCATCTAAACGCCGCATTGTGTAGGTATGCAAGTGAAATCATAGTACCTTGACGACCATTTGTCAGGGAAATTCAAACATTACCGGTTTTTTTTCACCTTCTCCCATACATAAGGGTCGGTCAGAAAAACCTCTCTCCACAAATCTGTCTTTATTCAATCCATTTATTCCCATATTATCATAAAAAGTAAGAACTTTTATCTCTCTAAACATGTATAAAATATTATCCTTCGGAATTGTTTTTACGTTAAAGTTTTGTCTTGTTATTATTTCAGTATCGACATATTATATCAAACACGATGTAGTTAGTGTTTATTTTATTCTTAATTCTTTCCAATAAATTATAGCATACAAAAAACAACCGTTGTAAATAGTGTGCATGCGGTTTTGTGGCAAATATAATAAATGAATTGTGCATTATTTTTTGGTCCATTCAAAACAATGTTATTAACTTAATTGAAAAGAATTATTAAAATAAACTCAAATGGTATATTTTGTTGATAACAAAATGGTTTACCCAGCCATAAGCAAAATTTAAGTAAGATAATAGATATAATAAATGGTTTGACGAATAATGTAACTATTAACGAATAATGAATAATTTTTAGCTCGAGAAAAATATTATTTGTTACTTAATAAAACCTGATAAATAATTTTTTTCTCTTTATGTTGAAGTGCATAAAAAAACATCTTAGATAATATTTTTAAATGTTTCCAAGACAATTTTTTATAAACTAGGGCTCACAATGTTTAGAGCAGCTTAACCCGTTGCTTCTTATACATTTTTAAATACCATTATTTTAATACATGTACAAAAAAGTAAAGTTCAGCCATTGAGCGGATAAACTTTATATATGGTTAAGTCAGTTTGGTTTTGAATTTTATTTATTATTCTAAAATATTCAGTGTAATAAGTAAAACAAAATTTAATATTTTTTTTTGATTAAGCTGTTTTTTATTTAAAAATAAAATAATAAACGCAAACAATAAATTGTGTTGACGTTACAAGTTATTTATAAATTTGTTGTCAAATGAATAATGCTCAAATCTACTGAAACATATTTTCTATTAAAATACATTTAAATAAATATATTCAGCTGTTGTTTTATTGCATTGCCTAATATGTTAATAATAACATTACATAGTAGAGTAACCACACAACCGTTTATCTTTTTACCATAGAATTTCGGTTTAACAAATCTACCTAGTATTTTTGTACAGTGTGTAAGTTATTTAAAATGTATTCACAAGTAATACCATTGAATTTGCTACGGACATTATTCCAGTTATATGTCCGTTACAAATTATTGTGATTGTCACTATAATGTTATTTGAGTTCGTGTTACTTTATATCGAAACGGTGTATTTTAATTTGTTTTTTAAACTAGGTAATTCAAAATTTATAAAAGGAAAACCGAATACAATTAATGTATACTACACAGTTTTCTACTAAAATTGTAATAACTGAGAACTGTCTGGTTTAATCAAAAGAGTCCAATATAATGAGTTTTTTAATTAAAGTTTTTGAGGTTTTCTTTTATACATTATAAACTTCTAGAAAACGAAATGCGTAAAGCTCTACAGTAAACGCGTTATTAATCAAAACGGGAAACTAAATTTGAGTTTTTATTATGCCTTATTATAATAACACACATTTTCCACAAAATTACAAGTTTTATCGTTAACGTTTTTGTTAAGGTCTTTGAACTATATAAAAAAAAATGTTATTTGATATGAAACTAAAAGTTATCTTTATTATTTTCTTATAGAAAATGGTCATTTTTGATTGACTAAAACATAGTTAAGGTACTATATTATGATTATAGAGCTGATATCAGAAAACGTACTCATTGACTCAGTAGTGACTGCACATATTTATAAACTTTAAATTAGATTAAAAAACACCATTATAACATAATTATAAAATTATATTATAATATCATATTATAAATATATTTTCTTTACACTTGGATCTTTATGGATACTTCTCGCCGGTACCTAATTTATAAGAAATATGATAGTACTGTAAAGCTAATTTCTCCTAGTGATAAAAATTACTAAACATATAAAAAATAATTAGAAAATGCACAAAAAGAAATTAAATATCTCTAAAAATAAAGCTGATGGCTGCTTTTAGTTTTGATATTCTGCACTATAAGCAATGTTTCTCTAGGTTTTTAGAGCACATTTTTACACGTATATAGTTATTATTAAATTGGAATCTTTGTTCATAATAATAATCATTAAACATACTGTTTGAAAGAAAACAAAACATTGGAGTATGTTGGTTGTGTTAGATTCCAAATATTCGTCAAATACTATCGAAAGTTTGGAAGTGTTATGACACACGATAAGGACGACATGATACCTAAGTACCTATCATAATTTCTAGTCTACAAAAATCCCACCATCAAATCATTGTCTTGTTGATATAGTTTTTCCAAATATTTACAACTAATAGACATCAAAACAAAGATCCACTTTCAGCGTCAAAAAAAAACTTGTAGAGTAAATGCTACTAACACATAATTTCTAACTCTGGTGTAATACAACTAAGAAGTATAATGTAGAAGTAAACTTCTTCACACCTCGACTGAAAAATCATTTAACTTTATTTTGTTAATTTCTTAAGTTTTAACATGACGGGATATTCTATACTAATTAAACAATTCTTCCTCATACTTCTTTCAACTTCTATTAATTGATTTATCAAGTTCACCTATTTTATGCAAATTTAATCAATCGGGTTTTTAAAAAAGTAATTTTAATTGGTAAAATAATAAATTGTAACTTATAGTCTTAACTAGATTAAATATCATTTTTTTAACAATCGAACAATAAAATGAAATGGTCATTTTCAATACTTGTATAGTACAGTTAAATTTTACTAGTTTTTATGGTGTTCAACTACTGATTCTATTAAAATTTATTTTATTTAGCTTCAATATCAAGCTGAGAGATAGTAATTTTATAATGATGTGTTATTTTCATACTCAAATATTTAAATTAAATATTTTACAGAACTTTTAGATATTAAAAAAACATAGTAAATTATTAAAAAAAATGTATAATTTATTTTACTTACTGGAATCCGTTTTATTACACAAATAGCTATCGATTCAAAAGAATTCTGATAGCCTGTGTAAAGTTAAAGGAGTCGCCAATAGTAAATTGGCCATCAGTATCAACGATGGACTGGACGACGTACCGTGCCTTTGAATCGCTGCTATATTATCACCTTCTGCAAAAATAAAAATAAATGTAACTTTATTAAAATTTTCTTTTTTCATTTACAATATTGAAAACAAATAAAAGAAACTCTAGATAATATAGATGAACCATTGTACACTATACACAGCATATATAACCCGAATAAATCGTATGCTTTTTTTCTATCAATAAGACTCAAGGCGCTAAGAAGTCCAAAGAAAAAGGCTTGTATATATATTACATTTTGAGGTGCTGGAGAGATGAAAACCATAACATGTGACGTCTGGCCCCTTTGGCCTTTATGAATACAATCTAACACTCTGCTGAACCGTATGAGATGCGGATTTATTTCCACAGTAAGTTTTCTAAAAGCTCTTTTGGCTTTAACTGAAACCTGCCACTATCCATGTGGAATATTTATATACCAATTCATAAAATTGCTCCATCCAGAATACATTATGTTTAGTACGCGAACACCGCGTTTCAACGATATCACTAAACTTCTAAGTGTAGAAATAGAAACTAACAAAAAATACTTGTCTATAAAACCAGTGAAATAACGAATTGTGTGTGCTACAATTTAATAACCTTTAGATTTTAAGTGATATTTTATTTTCCCTTTATATTTCTCACAACATAAAATACAATATATTTTACTTCTTTTGAATTGTGGCTAACTATTGTAAATAGAACAAAAGAAGTACATAACTTAAGTAACAATAATCTGGAAGGATCGTAAATACAATTTAGCCCGTCACTATCTAACACTATAGTTATGCACTGAACTTTTGTCAAAGAATTAATAATTTTATATCTAAAAGAAACCGCGACTCGCGCTATCAAACTCAAGCTAACTAGTTAGTACATATGTTATAATATTATAATATCAAATATAAGAATTAAGAACTAATAGTTTAGTATACAATCACTGTAATTCAGTAATACCACTGAAAGTATACTTTTTTTTTGTAAATTTCGGTGCATTACAAGCTCTTACTTATCCAAATATTTATAGTGCCTACACAACATTTTATTTTCCTATTAAATCATTGTAATCGATTAGTAGGTATACAAAACCCAAGATTAATTAGAGAGAATATTGTAAATCGCTATTGTTTGAACCTTTAGCCGTTACCGGTCTGAACTTGGAAACCAAATATTAATCGATGTACATAGCCGCATAATTAATATTCCACGTTAACGTATGCACGCACTTAAGCTCGCATACTGCTTATAAATATAACGTAGGTAATAATAATTACGGTTGGCCGAAGGTTCTATAACCTTTCCGAACACTGTCCATTAATTCATTTATAATAAATATTTGTTTGTTTTAAACCAAAACCGCAACGTTTTGTAAATACATTAAAAACGCACATATGTAGGTACGTGCTAATTAATAACCCAATCTACGACACCAAAACATTTAATTTTCTTATAGAAAAACACCAAGTCTGTTTTTATAACTATTAGAAAATTAAATATCTACCACCCAAATAGTTTTATGTATATCAAATTTTCATTATTACATTTTGTACAGCAAATACGCAGTGTGTGATAGTTACACGATTGTCAAATTTGATCAAGTGATTTACTCGAATGGAATTGACTAAATAATCATTGTTCGTTTATAAGAGTCATTTAAGGTTGTTGGTTCTAATATGTTTTGACATTTCTATGTGGCCCAGACAATATTACAACTACATAATTCCTAAACCGACAAAATATACAAGTTTATATTTTGATATTGCCTGTAGGCGTAGGCACTAATGATCAGTAAAGTTATAATTAAAAGATAATCAGCCGGTTTCACAAACTATTGTTAAATACACTCTTTACACAATGTTAGTTAACAATTAATTTAAATTTAACATCTGGTTAAGTGAAATAAGTTTCACCATAACATTATTATTGTTAAATTCTATAACAAAACGTTACCAAAGCGGTTACCTCGATTCCAACGTTCTCATTGGTTATCAAGATATCTGATAACAGATAAGATTGTAAAATCTTAATGTAATTAAAAGTTGTTGGATTGGAGTTAATGGATGATTCCGGTCATCGATGTATTCTAGTTCAAAATCAATCAATTCCAACAATTGTTTAACACATATACTAATAGTTTATCATCAAGGTCATTAAAATAATTTTTCTATTTTGAAGGCCTAAAAAAAGGTAGTTAGTGATAAAAATTATTTCCATCGTTATACACAGGAAAGGCAAGACAATAATAATATCTAAATTACGAAGTACAATAAATTCTGATATTTGAACCTATAATACAAGCTGTGCCATTCCGTTTTACCTAATCTACCTACATAAAATAACTTGGCACTGTTGCTATTGGCGGTGGTAACGCTGCTCGCTTCTCATTGGTCGGCCGCAGTTTTATTATAATACACACCAAAAACGGTCGCACCGCAGAAAGAACCACAACAACGGAAAACTACACCGTAATTTATTTGTTGGTTATTTTTGTCTTCCCGCTTTGTGGCGGGAACAATGTGAGTATTATAATATATTATCCTATAGTAGATATTATTTAAATTGCCGATGATATAAATTGTAAATCTATCATAATATAATAATATGTTAAAATAACTCTCCATCCCTTCGCTCTACGACCATAGTTATTGATTTTAAAGGTTCGGCCGGGTCCCTTTACAACCTTTCCAACAATATGTTAATTTTGAAAATTGTCTAAAAGTTTTAAGCAACTTAAAACCAAAAATTGTACACATAAATTGTAGTTTATATTTTAGAATTTAGGTTATTCACCTAGAAAACCAGTAAAACGTTACTTGATTTAGGCTTAATATCTTATCTGAGTAATACTGAATTTTCAACTATTATTATTTTCATCCCATTAAATTTGTATTATGAACTTAATAACCAAGTCTTGATAAATATTTTCAAGTTTTGTTTATTTTTTAAAGTTTTGTAGTCATATCTACTGAATGCCGGATGCTACCTACAGTGTATCTATAGCAGGTTATATGCCAAATTTGTTGTACATTTGAGGGGAGTTAAGGCCATAGAGGTGTAAATCACATTTTTGTAAAAGTTGAGTTAAGTATTGTAAGCATATTTCAAGAAGTCAATTTATCGAAAGGTAAAGTGAACTAAGCCATAAACCTCTACCAGTAAATGGTAGTACAATACAAGCTTATTATACAAACGTTTTTATCAAACCTTGTTTTTCTCTAATTAAGATTAAATTGACTTATACCACTATAGTGTTGACACCCTCATGTATCTTATTATGTTTTCACTATCCAAGGGGGGTTGTTGTCTTATAAGCATTATAACTGAATTTCATTGGCTATAATATAAGGATACCGTATTCTTAGATTTAGCAGAAAGTGAGATGTGAGCTTATTGTTATTCAACTTAAGGATTATCATCATTATCGATTTGTAGTAAAAATTTTTTGGATATGATGGAGAAACAAGACTTACTAATCCGTATAGATATTGATTTTGTAGCCCGTAAAATATTAAAGTTGGACTAAAATAACACGGCGGAGCCACAGCACAGGAATTCCGGTACTTTAAGAGGATGTAATTGATTATTTACGGTTGTAATGTCCGGCTGTTGTCGTGGCGCCTGGTCGGGATTTCGAGCGTGCCAAATATTATAATAGTCAGACTATCAGCTCGTAAAAAAATATCCTGACGACGATTTTACGACCAGAAATTCAAATGACCTGCGACAATTACACGCCCAATGAACATGAGGTTTATACTAATACCTATATCGGAAACCCATAAGGCCATTGGATGTTATCGTAAAACGTGGAATCTTAAAATATTATAATAAGAATAGTAATAATACGGAATCAAACAAGTTCTACCGAGAACAGCGTAAAGGTTATCTCGCATATAAACGTTAAGAATGGCTGTTAGTACTGCTGGTTTTGAACTTTCAGAAGCAAACATTGGTAAATGTAAACCATGCTCAGGATTTGTGTGATTTATACCATCGCGCACCGTCGATTAAATACGCCGCTTATTTTCACTGATCAAAGGTTTAGGTAAAATTAGTATTAGGTAAGCCGATAAATAACAATCTATTCCATTTGTACGTCCCTTACGGTGTAATTGCTATCCGATTATATTACACACATAGAACTTAATAAAGTTTAATCAAAGAGTCTATTTTCATACACGAATCAGTTCTCGCGTGTATGGCTAGGTAAATTATTATTATTAATACATATCTTATTGAAACAATTATATTATCAGGGGAGTAATATTAGTTTATTTATTATTCATCGGGATTCACCAGATTGGTGGGTAAACATATTCTAAAATACTTCGGTAGAGATTTCTCTCTTATTTATACTGAATAATTATTACCATTAAAAAATAATTTTTTTAGTTTTTTCGTTCCCTAAGATTTGATTAACATAAAAAAAATTAAATCGCCAGTTCTCTTACGTTTTTTCTGTTAAGAAACAGTATAGCTTTTTAGTGTTATTAATTTTCTTTGCTGTATTGTAAACTGTTCATCTCTGTGGATTATACATTTCCCTAATTAGAGCATAAATATGACAACTGCTAATCCGACTCTGAGTACGCAATACTTGCAATTATTATTAACTATATTTTACTGTGACCCTACGTTAAATAAATAGACTGATAGGAACTTCATCGAAAAATATACATCTTTGTTTATTTATATTTTGTGATTAATATTGATAAATGTTTTAAAGATACATTATTAAAATGTCTTAGGCAAACTTAATCATATTTCTGCTAAAAAGCCAAACATTTTCTTCTACGTACTAACAACAATAGTCGTTATCTTTGTATATGATGTCGAATCAGGTAAGATCATACCAAATCACGTACAATTTACAGGTTTAATTGCAACAAATGCACGTGTACACTTAGTTGGAGTATGTGACATAAAATCTTAATGCTGAGTAAATAATGGTAATGATAGTAAGCATAGAGAATCAAATACTTACACGCCTCACTCTGTTTCAATTATAAACAAACCACAGTTGAATCACGCTGCAAGTTTATA